TTTAGTTCAAAATATGACACAAATTTACCTATAACTGTAATAATAATGTCCGTTTGTTTGCAACGAAAAAGCTACGAAACTACTGGACCGATTTTAAAAGTTCTTTCACTTACGGGCTGCTACGTCATACGGGATTCACATAGGCTATAATTTATGCGTGCGAAGTCGCAGGCAAACAGCTAGTGCTTATTTATTTATTTATTAGGTAACACAACATACATTAATCAAAATATATATGAATAATAAGTGACAACTGTGTAGTACTAAATTCATATCCTAAACACAATGAGATATGATAAAGAAAAAAAAAACTATTATTTTTATTTTTTTACTAATATGAAAAAAAAGAATAAGTATACATCAATCTGGATGAATAAAAAGATGCGACACTTAGGTCTTAGATATTAGTGCAAATGATTCAAATCGTCAGGTAATTTCAAAAGACGACCCGAGTAGGTGTAGAACGATAAAGAATAGGCGACATATGTGAAACTAATACATAAAAAAAAACTGAAATACCCTGCTAGGCTGACATTTGGGCTTGAAGGTGCTACTAAAATAATAACAGTTGCAAATAATGAAGGTGCGAAAGATAATTTTGTACGAACTTCACTTGGTAAGTCCATTTGATCCTATATTATATCTAATTATTAAATTATAAACTGGCATTATAACTTATTGTTATTTCTAACAGTAGATTTTGTTACATTATGTTAGTACTCAAACTAAGTATTCAATGTATTTGTATTCAATGTTGTCATAATTAATGAAGTTATTCAAAATTTTCACTATTATATTAATGATAACAATTAATGTAGAAACGAAGACGGCGTCTATATTTCCCAGTGCATATAACCCAGACCTATTTAAGGCAAAAGTGAATAGGTTCCTTCCGGACAAGCTCATCTCACCGTAGACCTCCTAAACATAAATATCCTTGAGCTAGATTGAGGTCAAGAGTAAGCCCATTATAATTAAAAAAAATAAATAAACATATTGTAACGTCGTAAACATATTTCTCCTTTTGGACAGTTCTCGTACATATTATTAGTGATATCGTACAATTAACCAAATAATGAAATAAGGTAGACAATCGCTTTGGTATTGATACGTTATTCCAATCGATTAAAGATGCAAGTTGTATATAGTATTTGTCTTTTAATGAAATTTGTCTTTAGCACTGCAATAGGTTATAACTTACTTATAAGTATAAATTGAAAGTTAACGATAATCATATTTAAATCTGTGATGACATAGGATGCAGTTTTAACAAGTTCAGTGTCAATTAGTGGCTTTCAAAAGATTTTGGATACTTAAATAAGAAAAGAGGGGTGTGCTGATAACGTCGGTAAGTAAACAATAATACTGTAATTTATTGCAGAAAATGAAACCCATGTATTAAATACAATTATTATACCTATAAAGTATCTGCAATTTAAAGATTTTGAAATAAATCCAAATAGAATAAGTAATCATACAAATTATGTGAAAATTATAACAGATTTTTTTGTAGCCGTTAATTATATCTGCAATTATTTGTGTGGGTAGACGTAACATCCTAATAAAGCCGACATTAGTTTAAATTTTGTGGTGATCATTGCAGGTGTATCGATCATCACAACAGCGCCATACGAAAGAAGAGCGAAATGTTTACAAAAAATATTCGCCATAATATACGACATTTAAGCCTTCATAAGTGTACGTAGTACCGAATAAGTTCAGTTTTAACAGAAAAGAACTGAAAATGACAAAACATACCTATCTGAAACTTTTACGCTAGAAAAAGAAGAAGGATTTTTTTACTAACATCGAATCAGATGAAAGAGATCTCAAGTAAATTGACTAAAACTGTAATAGAACTTATATTATTTATTTAGACTAACACTCAGTTGTTGAAAGGTCTCTACAGTACTATTAATAAACAAAGTTTATCGTCAGATTAGATTTACACTTAAATTGCAATTTTAATATTAGTCCAAATTCATATTATACAGGGAATAAGCAAACCTAATGCCTTCCAGGAATTAATATTGCTCCCGTTATGCCTCGTACTAGGTTAACCTTTGCTAAGTCTCAGTTACATAATATGAGTTTTGACTATTATTAAGTGCAGTCTCCACGTAAAATTTATCTCTAATGAAAGTTTGTAAGAAAGAAACAGTAATTGAAGGTAATTTTTATAGACGTTTATGCAACGCGGTGTTACTTACTTCACTCATATTGGACTCCCTGAAACCCTTTCAAGAGGCCTGTATTATAGAATATATTTATTAATAGATTTCGTGACCATTAATAAATTTAAAATCAATTGTTTTTATACGGTCATTATACCCGGGTGAAGGACTGCGCGCTACTGCGCGACCACGATCCAACTTTTAGAAATATTAATTTATAGATTTCTTGTGTGCCATAATGGAATATTATTTATATGTTATAGTATGTAGTTTTATTTTAATATAAACAATATTATCTCAGCGGGACTCACATATTGATAAATTGCAGAATAGACTTAGCTCTGCAGCATATGCCATAATGAAGATACGTAGGTTAACTGACATAGATACTGCCAGATTAGTATACTTCAGTTACTTTCATAGTGTAATGTCGTACGGAATCCTATTGTGGGGAAATGCTGCCGACATACATACAAACGATGTTTGTGCTTCTGTAGAGAGCTATTAGATAAATTTATAATCTTAGCATTAGGGACTCTTTAGGAGAAATGTTTAATGTCTATTATGCCTTTATTTACATATAATTAATTGCCCTATTTCGAATCAGTCAAAAATTTAGAATGAATTCATATAACTTTGAATTCACGTCATTTAGTGTAGAAATTGTTTTGATTCCATCCAAATTGTATTGCGGGAGATTTGGTCCGCCCCGTGCCTGCGGTGCTGCGGGACCTCCAAATGGCTAAATGGCAGTCTTCCGTCAAAATCATAATAATTTTAATAAAGATTCATCATCATCATCAGCCCTTTATTCCCACTGCAGGGGCCTCAGGCCTTTCTTGTGGGTGGTTAAGAAGCATGGGCTATGACTCTCCACGCTGGCCCAATGCGGATTGGCGGGTATTAACGACTGCAAATGCAGCCGGGACCAACGGCTTAACGTGCCTTCCGAAGCACAGAGTACCTCGAGATAATAATTTTTGGTCATCCATGCTGTGACAGACCCTTGCGAAAGTTGCTTTACGACAACGATCGCGTGCCGCGGCGCTTATCCACTACAACAGCGAGCTACTCTAATAATAAAGATTAACTTTATTAAAATATTCTATTCCTGTGTCATTTCAAAGTTCGCTTCACTTATGCCACGAAACGTTTTAACAAATTCAAGGTTGAGCGGATGCCGCTTTTTGAAGTCAATTCGGATCACCTGAGTGAATTGGAATTCGGGTTTGGATTTAGCAGAATCGCAGGGCTGATTAGGTATTCCAATCGAATATTCTAGTACTGTAGAATTGGCGAATAAGAAACAGACAATTATAGGCAAATCATTCGTTCGCTTTAAAACAAATCGCTCTATGAGATGGTGGTACAAATTTAAAATAAGCTTGATTAAAAATAGCTGCCAAACTATCATAGTTTCGATATGGCGGTGGGATGAAAATAAAGAAAATGATTAAACATATTGGAAATACCTACAGTATATTTCGCAAATATAATGGATTGAAATCTAAATACTTATTTTTTTTAGTTTTTTATGAAGATATCGCCATTAAATAGAAGTGGCATGCTTTAGACAAGATAGTTTGTATCTTGCAATACCAAATCTCGATAGGCAAATTAATATCAATTTATACAAGAATAACTTTGGAAGTTCCATATTGTAGTTGTTGTACATTAGCAGTGGCACATCGGTTTTAGTGTCGTTATTTCTAAGGCCGGGGTTCTATTCACGCTCTGGTACCTTTGTTGTTTCAGACATTTTATATACACTAGGGCTTAAGCTACGTGTCTGGAATCTGAGTAATGAACTTGATATTATACAATATTTAGGTATACTTAACTGTTTTCCCGCGACTACGTCTCCATAAATTATCTCACTGTGACACCCGCATATAGGTGAAGGATATTTTTAAATCTGTTTGTTGATTCGGCTCCAATTCAATGCAAACAATTTAATCTTTCCTCTTTACAATATAAGTACTTTATAAACACATTCTTCACACAAAAGGCCAAATGTTTAAAGTCTCACTTAAATATATATTTATATAATATTTAGGTATTTTGTAGTGTAGATATATATTGCAATAACAATTTGCATATAAGCAAATAATTCAAAAAACTTTTTGTATCATCTACATATTAATTTTAAGAAATGTAAGAGATTATTTGATTTTATAATATTAAATATTTTTTTCGGTTCTTGGTGTATTTGAATGAAAAGTTCTAATAGAATACACCTATATCAAGGGTACAATTACAGTGAGTACATCTTACAACCGTTCGGATTTCCTGTCATGTGCACAACTTTCAAATGTAACTGTCAAAAGATAGGTCATGGTTCAATTATTTGTCAATTCACGTCACAAAATAAAACCGCAATAATAAAAAACGAGATTACGTCATGGTACGAAATAGCAAAGTAATTATTGCTTTAAGAGCGGTGGTTATCAAACAGATGCCGCCACTAATGGACATAGAAATAAGCCAACAATTTAATTGAAAAAAAAAATTAAAGTGACGTTTTTAAACTTGGTAAAAAATTAAATATGTGCCAATTGAGATTGAAATTAATAATGATGCAAATTCAATTTGATTTTTTTTTGCGAATCTCTGCGTAGTAATAGAAAGTTTAGTGTAATCGATAAAACTTAAACGTATTTGAATTGTATATAGATGTAACTAGCACAACTCAATATTGTTCCATACAGTTTAACAGATTGCAGAAATTAGTCAAAATGTACGCTTCTTGGCAGTGTCGACGCTTGTGTGTTTTGATTATATATATAGTTATAATACAAGTGCGTACTTAATATATGTTAATGTATTAATGTATAATTCTAGAGCTTCATTAAAACAAAATACCTACGTAGAATTAATATACACATTTAATTGATCAATTAATTATGTTTTCTACAAAAAAATCTTACATTAACAGGCACCTAAAATGTACACACTTATCCTAAGTACAACGTAATGGCAAAATTGATTCTCCACATTTTTTGTTACACATAAACATCTGATCACACTATTATAGGTACATACATATATGAAACATAAATAAAGTTAAACTAACGGCAAGGTGGAAAGGTATCGCATGGATAAACTTGGTAACTATTACAATATTCACACCAATCGAGAGTGTAAGTATAAAGTAAAATAAATTCAAAATTGTACTTCTAGACTGACTGGAAAATAAACTGTTCAGTGGCTCCCGGTTTGCGTATAGAGTGTTAATGCTTCTTTTTGTTGAAAAGTTCCCGGGTCCTCACTAATAGATGGCGCTGACATTATTTCTTTTTGAGTCTGAAAACGTCGTTGAGCGGCGTGTACGGGGTCCGTGTTGGTATCGCGTTGTAGGCAAACGATGGTTGCGCGTCCGCACGCAGTATCACAACACCTGATGAACAAACAGTATATTTACATTTTAATATCGATTTTATAAATATCAATTAAACTTCATAATTTATTACTATATCATCAATTTATATTTTCATTACATCAGAAAATATATACGATACGAATACGCATATATATATAATACCATGGTATTGTCAAACATCCAGGTTCTTTCTTACTTATTCCCTACACATATCAAAGAAAGTAGTGTCGTCTGTCAAATATATAATATCTGTGCCTTTCTTGGCATAAAAATTATCGATGCTTATTAGTGTCAAGGCTCAGTTACACTGGTATGTCTTCGTCCGCGTGTGATGTGCGACTGTGACTTAAATGTGGCTCTCATTTATCAGTCGCTGTTATTTATAAAGCAAAAGAACATACATGCTGATCCTGTCGACTAGTGTAAGCTGAGCTATTATCAAATTCTAAGTATAGTTATCCTGATGTCCAATACAAAAATAATACATGTTTTGTGCTTAAGTTACATAAATTGAACGTAAAAAAATAACGAATTTAGCTTATTTCGAATGCGTTACGTTAGATTATAATACATTCCCAGATTGTTACATAAGCATTCACCACATTACTGCGAAAGCTTGTGAAATATTATAAACCGCACCCATTGCTTAAAATAATTAGTGCGACACTTTCTACCTGAAGGGTTCACTTTCACTTTGATCTTGGTCTGAGGGGAGAGCACGCCATAGTCCACGTCTTCGTACAAATCCTGAAATACCACAAAATAATTACCAATCATAAAATTGACAAACAGAAAACTAATTCAAGAGATTTCATTATAAATAAGACGAACACGTCTAGTTTTTAATTTTAAGTTTCAGCAAAAGAATTAATCAACCTAGAAAAGATAAAATCTTCTGTAGGCAGAAACATTAAAGACTTTTATTAATGCTACCTGATTAAAGTAGTTACTTTAACTCTGGTGGTCACAGGGACTACAGATTCTTACGGAACCGCATAACTCCTTAAACTTATCGTACGTATTGACAACCTCCGTCATCCAGTGGTTCACACGCCAATTTCAAGGTGTCACAAGGATCTGCACAAAGTACGTGATGTTGTCTAATATCTTATATACTGGTACAACGTTATTTTAAGTATGAGGGCTCCAATTTTTCGTACTAAGACGACTTCATTGGTCCTTTGAACGCGACAAGCTCCAACCCAACTCAACCCAGAAACAGCTTTATAAGATCTTCGCAGACTTCTCAAAGTGTTGATGAATTGTCAAATATGTCTGCTCGATATACCGCCAGACACTCGCATTCCAGGATTGCGTGAGTGATAGCTTCTTTAGTTGACATACACGCTCTGCAGAGAGGGCTGTCGGTTCCACCTATAATATGGAGGTGTACTAGCACAGTAATACTGACCTCGACCCTGTACCCGGCGGGGTTGTTGAGGCCGAGCTCCCGCAGCGTGACGGCCACGTCGGAGGGCGTGCCGTCCGTGCGCCGATTGACGAACGCCACCGCGTACGAGTAGTACTGACCCTGGATGGGTAGCACCGGCCGCGACCAGATCTCTATACCGCGGTGCTGCAATTATATAAGGGTTACAGTTAAGATTATTATGCACTAGCATTCCGCCAGTGGCTTCGCCCGCGTGTTTATTTGGATATAAGTTCATATACATAATTACAATGACAAATTGAATAGTAAACAATGGTCATTATGACATAATTCCCTATACAAACTTCCATTTCTATTTTCATCCCTTTATTTTTCGAGATAAAATATAGTCGTATGTTCACCGCAGTGATGTAGCTTCCCGTAGGTAAAAGTATTTTTAAAATTGAATTTATTGCAAACAAACAAATAATCAAATCTTTCTTTTTTCAATCTATATATTACAATACAATCTATAACTATTACCCTGCCTCCCCAAAGCAGTTCAGCAAGATTATGGACCCACCCCTAGAAATAGGGCTAGTCACATATAAAGGCATACACACCAAAATCCATTAACGTCCCATTTAATTCAAATTCAGTGTAATTTATATAGTCTAGTCCATATATTCTGTCTAGGTTGTTACAAACACTTGTGAAAGCCGAAAACTATGCCATCTATTCGAAAATTTATTGCGGGAAACTTTGTACTAAAAAGAACCGGTTAAACACTCAGCAAGGGTTGCTATTTTCTTCTATTTTGTTTCATAAAGAGAAGTCCAATTAAGACCATGACTGCATTAAACTTTTTCCATAACAACATTAAAGATTACAAGAAATAATTTATTCGTTATCGATTAATATGCCATATTATATAAATACGTTAGTGAAACATAACCCCAGGGACTTCTCGAGCCGTTCATTCTCAACTACTTATAACGCCTCCTGTTTTTGAAAGCTAGAATGCTAATAAATCAAGGAGAATACTCTTAAATTGTAGTGTTTTGGTTCCGTTTTAGTTTTCTTCTAACTCACCTTGTATATCCGCCTTCCCTGGATACCGAGAGGATCCTGGTCGACTTCTATAATTTTCCTGTTTTGCAATATAGCCTTGTATTCAGGCCTGATGGTACGCAGATCTACGCTCATCAAAAGGGGGGCGGCGAGAATCGCCCAGATAGCAAATTGCGTTTTACTTTGCTCGTATGACAAACCGAAATTGCCGATGATCAACTGTAACAGAAACAACACACTGTTAAAGGCATGATACAGTGTTTTTGCTAAGATTTTCGTAAGGACTACTCTCTCTCTCTCCTGGTGGCACCTTATCAGATTGTGAGCTACTACTTTTATAACCACACAATGGAACCTAACAAAGATAGATCCTAATTATAAAGTCATAAGAAATGATGTTCCATAACCTAACGAAATTCGTGAACCCATTAGTAAATTTAATAGTTTTGGTTTTAATTGTTTAATATGGAGAATGATATATACTCGTACGTACCCTCAAATCACATAATGGAAGAGTTACATGCACAGGTACTACCAGATACAGTACATAGGCACAGCCAACAACAAATAAATTTAATGATCTTAGGAAATCTTAATAAGATGGCATTGGCGCCTGGTCTACTATAGGCTATCGCTGAATCTTTATGGTTAAATAACTAGCAACTGAACTCCAGCAATAAAAAAAAAATATTAAAGTTGATAAAAGTGATATTCACCATATCGGGATCATTCCAGTGTCCAGGTCCTGCGTTGGGTACGATGACGTCCTGATGGTTTCCGTAGTAGTCTATGATAGACTCGACGGATGCCCACGAGTCTTGAATGTCGTCAAAGTTTCGCCACAGGTTGCAGTGTTCGATGATCGATGTGAAGTTCGGCTGGAAGTACAAATTTATAAATCAGTGTCACATTTCGAAGAAATCAGGAGGAAGTCGAGTGAATGCGCGAACGGAAACTTTGTATACTTCTTATTTTTTTTTTAATCCAGTCCAATCCAGGCAGTGCCAAGTCTTACCTCCGTTGTATCTATTGTTATCAAAAAATAGATATTTTGGAATCGTATTAGCATTTCGCAATTATATAGAATTTCCATCTCGTATAAACAGAATAGGCTTTTTCTCATTAGGCATAATTATCTTTGTATTAGAGTGCTGTTCTGTTGAAATACATCGTTTAACATAGCACAGTCTCAGCATTAGAGGTACAATGAAATTAAACATTTTTTACCTTTTCAAATTAAGTTGTGACACGCGACAGCGCTTTATACGAAGCTCCATTAAACGCTGTTAATTAACAGAATACAGGAGTTGAGCCAAGTATTGATAAGTGAGTTTCTACTAACTGTATGGATCGGATGTCTGCGATAATCGCCTTGATTGATACCTAGCAGACCGCCAAACCCTCACTTGTAATGCGCTCATAATATGAATTGCTCATGACAACATTGAAGGAGTTTGTCAATGTCCACACACTCTCAAGTCACATTTAATGTCGGGCCTATTACTTATTAGTGGAATAAAGATGCCACCTCACCTGTAAGCCAGCATATATTTGGTAGACGGGCCAACTGCACGAGTAGACCATCTGCCGGCCGGTACGGTTCAGCTGGACGCCAAACTCTGGGTAGCCGTGGTCCATGTCAGCGGGGAGGGCGTAACACCCATCCAATTTCACATAGTCCACGCCCCATGACGCAAAAGTAGCTGCATCTGAGGATAAGCATAATTACATTAACTTGTTTATTTATTTTTAATGAATATAATATAATTATAAATTCACAAATCGCTTGCTTTTCGCTTAGATCAATATTACTATCAAGATTATTTGTAGAATTGAAAACTTTCAGATTTTTTTTCTTCTATTTGTAAAAATACAGAATTTCCAAGAAGGATAGAACAGTTTCGTTTACCTTACAAATTACTTAAACCATTGAAACTTACATAAACTATTTTTTACAGCAATTTATTTTTTCAACTAATAATTAAAAAGGCAATATATCATCTTGTGCGGCACAAACTGTCCGCATTCACGAGTACAGGAAGATAGAACCGATATTATCGATTATCATACAATAAGCCGCGAAGAGCAACGCGCACGCGACTCACATATTCACTGTCAACATTCCTGTAATTACTGGAGCGTCCTACATTTGCATCGGGCAAACGAGGAAACATTTACATTAGACAAATTTATCATGACTTTAGCTATCTGTTAGGGAAATTAATTACTTTCTTTAATGATTCCACAAAGTGGTAAAATAATATTTAAAAAAAAATCAGATAACATCAAATACACTGTAAAGTCTCTCAGTGTCAAGTATCTGAAACAATAATACCATTGGCACCAAACCCGAAACCGGCATACTTCAGTGATAGTGACGCCTTACAACCGGGACGCGAGCCACTCGGCTACAGGAGTCATATCGTTTAAGATTGTGTTATCATTGTCATGACATGTCATTTCTATCGATTCTTATTAAATTCGTCTATTATCCTATACAGCACTTGTTTACAAGATCAGCTTTAGCAAATATTTACTTTTTATCTATCACATCAAAACAGATATTATAGAGAATAGATTTATTTGTTTGTTTGCATTATTGAACAGGCTTCGAAACTACTAGACTGATTTAAAAAAATATTTCACCTACGGATAGAAACATTATACGCGCGCGATGCTATAATTTAAACGGGAGAAATCGCGGCAAAACACATAGTAATGATAACTTTAAATACACAAATAGAGAGACAAGCATAATATCTGCTGACCCGTGGTGAGTAAGCTATCACAGGAACTATGAGGCATAGTTTCGTCTGAAATTATTATTATATAACAACGGGCGACCTCTTAAGATTGAGATCGCTACTCTTTTTTTATTTATTATTTTATATAAATGAAAAAAGTATAATTAATGAGAGAGATAAACACAGTGGCAGCGACAAAAAGTGTTGCGCTAAACTTACGTATTAATTATTTGCCTTTTGATATATTAAAATGATTCCGAGGCGAAATGTACAATGTAAAATTTTAGAGAGACCCAAATTTGAAATTATTTCTGTTAAAAAAAAAATATAAATTCACATTAAGACCCAATCAATATCCTGACATGCGATATAACTTTATCATTCTTATAATTACAGTTTCTTTGGAAATTATCAATCGTATAATGAAAAAATAAAACTTAAAACACCCACCAATTCGGGGTACGCCGAGAAAGGACCATTACTTCATTGTTCAAAATGAACTAGAAGTGTTTTTAGTTTTGTCACTTTAGAGCTTACGATAACGAATCGTTGTCTCAAACCAAACCCACTTAGCCATAAAATTCATCATTAAGCTAGTTACACACATTCATAGTCGTCGAAAAGCATTTCACTAAAGCGCACCCGGAATTTCAATGCGTTGCCCAACTATTTAAATGTAATGAGCACTGCCACCATTCGTCCGCACGTCATTAGAATCGAAAACGTCCATTTATGAATAATTTTGATGTCAAATCACGTGATTATCATCTTGTGTTCCAATAATTGTATGTAGACGATGTTCTATATTGTGTTGCAATGTCGTACAACTTACGCAACTTATAATAATGCGAATTACTTATTTGTGCAACGGCATTCGTTACATTTTTTGACTGCAAAATGTATAAAAATGTATTGGAATGTTTGGAACAGGATGTCGCAATATTAAGCTTGGTCGGCCAGCAACTTTCGCAGAGGCCGATTATAAGATGGGTGATCAAAAATTTCCCCTCCTTGCTTAATTTTTTAATTTTATTTTAACCATAGACAAACCCTGTGACGTTGCAGTGGGGTTATTAATAGGCTGGTGATGATTTTTCAAATGCAGCTGAGGTGCCATAGACAACATAAATATAATTTATATACGGATGTAGATTTTTCACTAGAATAAAATATACTTTCCATGAGTTTGGAAGGTTACCGCTACTATGGAGTCGCAGCCAACATTCACTAGATTTCTAACTCTCTTAATTATTTTACAAAATGTGTTCTGGGAGAAAATAATACATGTTATTTTCGCCTGGCTAATAAACTATTGTTCTCGTCATCATTACAAATATTAATTTACAAAACAACAATTGTCATTTTAAATATATTTATGTGATAATAAGTTCACTTACCGCCGGCAAGATGGCCGACAACACCCGGATATCCAGCGCATGTGAAGTTGCCATAGTCCTCGTAGATGCCAAACTTTAACCCTTTACTGTGGACCTGGAAATAACGATAGAAAGTATGAAATATTGATTTATATTTCAATGGATACGAACATTTTTCTTAAGACTGCTGCAAGAGTTACTAAATATAAATAAGACAAGCAATTAGGTTTTTCATGTTTTCCCTAAATAATACAAGTGTTTTAATGTTCAGTTTCCAACGCTTGTTTTTTTACCTACCACTCGTTCAGGAATTCATTTGGGTGATAAGAAGAATGAGCGAAAAAAAACGCATTTACAAAACTGCTACATCATAAAATAAGCAAATCATCTCTTACAAACATCGACAAGAAAGTTACAATGTCAAAACTCAAAGAGAAGCCAATGTTTCCAATATCTATCACAAAGAACTACTCGCATCGTTAGTGATTAAAGTAATCTATAAACCATAATCGTTATAAATAGTTTCCTATGTGAATTGTTAAGGAACCAACGAATTAATCGATGCATTCCTTATATCATAATCAATTTCAAATTCAAAACAAAAAAGAACTAATTGCAATCACGATTTTTTTTTCTTCGCACAAAAACTCGAGTCGGGACCTTTTTTTATTTTAATCTCGACATAATTCGCTCTTTGTTAGATAATCTGTTTTATTGTTATGAAACATAGTTATACGGAGCATAAAAAAAACTAAGCGGCAATCTCGCATCATTATAGTAATGTTATTAGCAGTCGTTCACTCCAAAATTATCAAGGTTAAAGCTCCGTAACAATATAAAATTTATCTTATAATCTATCGCCTATTTCTCAATATCTTTTTGTTCTTTAGACAATGTCGAAAATAAATAAAAAAATCGAAAGAGTGCACGATAACAACTTTTATGTCATTATATTTAATTTCAGTTCTTATAACTCAACCTCACTCTTGTGGTACATTATTTTTATCAAGTAAATCATATGGCAACTTAATTTTAAGCTTCGAAAATAGTTGTTAGTTTAAAATAATTTAACTCGTAATGCTTTCGAATGGGAGATCTCTTTGGACTGTAGTTATTTCGGCTCAGATTTAGAATAAGCAACACCACATTTTTATACCTAATCAACCTTTATTACCTTTTGAATTAGATTTTATTTAAATGAATTTCTAAATCTGTGACAGCGCTGTGTTATTAACAGAACAACACTACAGTTAACGTATATTATCATATTTTGATGTCGAATAAAACTATTTAATAACTTATGCTTATAATTTGTCGTAATATGTAAGATGCTTATAAATCGTTTCAACTAAGACAGAGCTTAGAAAGCATAGTAGCGATTGCGGCATAGATATCGTGAGAAGCGATCTTGCGAAACATCGCTAATGGGGGCCATAAATGCTTCCTTTATACCACGGCTACTGCCACTCATTGCTACTATTTGCATATATACTATTGAATATAACAAGTTCTTTTTATTTTTAGTAAAAGCACAGGGCTTTTCGATAAGCTCAATAAAACTAAACACATGCCCAAGTTAGTCAGTCTAATCTTTCTATCATATGCCACAAATATGGGATCATAACTACTAGGACCTCCCTTAAAAACAATATAAAACTTTATTGGCCAACCCGCAGGCCGATTCTGCGAATTTAATTTACGTAATAATTACATCTCAATAGAATCTTAAAGTCATTAAGTTTCTATTTTTGACAGATATATAATTTTATTATACTAAGTAAATAGTACAATGGCAAAGTGCAAATAGTTGAAATTCTATCGAGATTCTATTATAACATGACATTATATAGTAGAATTGGCATGCTATAATTCAATACTGCAGATCAATCGCTTTACTCCATCAATATAACTTACTACGGCGAAGCGAATAGGAGGGTTACGATTTTGGCCGGTATGTACGTATGTAAGAATGTTCATCTGTTCCCTTATAACTTCGAAATTACTAATCGTAATTAGACAAATGAATATATATCAGAAGAAGCGTCTTAGTTGTCTGCGTGCTAAGGTTATATGGTTAAATTAACAACATATGATGTAATAAACAATATTACAAACATCCATAGAAGACACGCCCGAAAAAGATAATCCTTCCTTGTAGTCGGGTAAAAAATACAAATAAAAAAAACTAAAATATTCGTTTTAAAAAATTATAATAATAAACATATCGCAACAAAAGAATATAAACATGTTCATTGATGAAATTAAAAAATTGTGTCATATCTATTGTTAGAGCAAGAGAGACCCCTGACCTTCAAATATAGGAGTAATTTAAAAAAAATCTATAAGACAAACTATACATAATTACAGACTAAGTATTCCAATTAAATCATTTGTATTATACATAATTACGGAAATCAGACGTCGCATACATTATATTCATTAAGTCAATAATTTTCTTCACAATAATGATTTAAACGTCACTAATAAACTAACTAATGCACCGCAGTCTTTGTCAAATAAATTTTAACAAAAGAGAATATTAAATAAAGCTTTAAAATCTTAACGTTAAAAGTTTTCGAATGGATGTTGTAATCGATCCATTGGAACAACCCACATTATATTTCAATCTACTATAATAACAGTGATCCTACATATTACAGCCATCCCACATAATATTAAAATGAGAATTCACAGATCAGAGATTATTATTATAAGCCCTCCATGGCCAACACACCAAACGTTAATTGGACCTGAAAATTGGGCAATATAGTTTTGTATATAACGCATTTCAAAAAAAGAATAAAAGAGATTTTTTGCATGTTATCTTTATTGATAGTTTCAACGTCATACAATTTGATATTATTTTAAATTATTTAAAGTACAAATGTTACAAGACGAAATACCCCATGTTATCTTACATTTTTTTAAGGTTCATCTACACACATTCTGACTCGAATATAGTTTAAATATTGTATTAAGGTCAGCATACGTGAACCACTAACCTCATTCGTAACAGTTCAAGACGAATAGGCGTGAGAACGCACCTGATCCTTATGGCGAAGGCTACCAGGCCTAGGGTTGGCAGCTGAGCATTGTTATTAAAAACAAATATTAAAAAAAAAAATAACCTAAGTACCTACACTAAAAGGCGACAATTAATCAATAAAGAAGAAAATATTCTCCTCTGAAAGATACGAGACAGTCGTCGGCGCAGAAATATTTTTCGAATTTCCCTTTTTTTACTGCATTAGGGTTATATTTTTACTTTTATGTTACACACTTGACATCTCATATAAGAAATTGAACAAGCTTATATTTCAATAATGGCAACTAATCTGAATAGCTAAAAGTAGACGGGGCTAGTTTATGCAGAAGTCACATCCCCTGTCATTTGCTTTAAATCTTTGTTTTAATGTGAAAGTTAATTAAACAAATATATGCTTACGAATAAATTTAAAAAATGAGCTGTCTAAGATGATAAACTTGATATCAAATCCCATCTATTGTAGCAGATATATTTCTTTATTAAAATTTAATTAGGTAACAGTTTAACAACCATATCATTTGACCCAAAATTTGGTACGTATACCTTAAAATTTACCACTAGGCGAATAATACAATTTATTACAATTTATAAATAAGCAGAATCGAAGATATTTTAAATGCATCGAAGCCCAACTGTATTTTAAATACATACTATTTTTAGTCAGTAAAAAAAAATAATATGATTTGAAATATCAATGGCTAATGTGTCATTAACTGGTGGCAGCCCTAGTGAGATCGCTCCAAAGATTAACTAACTCTTGTAACAAGGAGTCATATCTCTTTGTTTCTAGCATTGTTAGCCAGTTCACATAACTAAGGGCCATGGTGTTTCGACACGGCGATTGTAATATACCTAACGAGGTCGATGCAACCGATAGAATCATTGTCGTTGCATTTTTTTTTCTATTTGAGAAAAAAAAATACACATAACGGCGTTCATTTATCTCCATGTTGCAAGACAAACTTTTGCCTACTAAACCATACTTTGACCGTAGTAGGAACGTGCGATGCTATGCACGGAGCGCTCAAAGTTGCTACCTTAGCTGGCTTGGCTTAGTCACTCTACCTACCTACGTAAAAATTTATTCATGAAGTTCATAACCAGTGGTCGGAATTAGGTAGAGTTATTCATGTACTTACACTGATTTCATACAGCGAAAGAATAAAGTAGATATGCCTCAAATCCCGAGATTAATTTTAAAGAGCAGAAAAAATCCCGTGATTTTTTAAATAAAAAGTTATTTACTTTTACACAATTTAAACTACTGCACGCACGACGTTGCCAAACTTACATCAATGACATCGGATGTCCAAAGTTGCAAAATACCAATACGCGCGATGCTGCCACATTTGTAGGGAATGTCCACATAAATATCAATATTTCGATGCAAGTACATAAATAACTCTACCTAATTCCGACCTCTGTTCATAACAAAAACTTCAAAAAATATTATTAACTTCCTTACGATTTAAACGTTTGATAAATAGCGTAACGTAACCGTTATCCAAACTAAACACCACGAATGGTATATAATTGTAATGTTACGATCATGACGAAACGATTAAACAGTTATTGTTAAAACGAGATTACAAAAAACACAAGTTAGCTTAAAACAACACGAGCGATGGCAATTAGATATAGCCTTTGTTCTATGGCCGCAATTTAAATATTAAAAATCTTAAGAAAAAAAAATAAACTCAACTTTTTCAAGTTTCGAATGTGATACCAGGAAGTGCAAATGAAGCCTCAGGTAGTTAGAACAAAAAATGTAGTAGTAGAGTAAGAAGCAAGACATAAGAATTGTTTCAATGGTTTTACACCAAATATAACTTTCAGTTTGTTTTGTACATAGAAATAACGTATTAGAAATCCTTTTATTTATTTAAATAAATTCAGTTATATTTGATAAACATACTTCGCTCGCATAAATTAAGCGAAATAATGTTTAAAATCGGTCCAGTAGTAAATTTTTATTCTTTATAATATTAGTACAGATAATTTCCGCAATCGAATTCACAGGCGCCGTATCCAATAACTATATGTGGCATGGTTGTCATGGGCCACGTTGACGATGCACCCAGACGGCGGCGGTCAAGGTTCCGACCTCCGTCGTACACAATAACATGTTACAGTCATAATAACATACGACAAGGCGTATCACCTGTCCGTCCGTGTCACACGCATTTGACATGGCGTAGGACGACGCGCTGTTTCCTGTGTTCCGAATGATATTGCGACAACTACAGCTCTATCTGAATGAGAGGATGATTTGACATCAAAATGGGATATGTAAAAAATGCCACTGGTAATGTTAAACTGAGTAACTCGGTGGCGTAGTGGATAATAGTGCTTCGGAAGGCACATTAAACCGTTGGTCCCGGCTGCATTTGCAGTCGTCAATACCCTCCAATCCACATTGGGCCAGCGTGGAGGGTCATGGCCCATCCTCCTTAACCATCCATAAGGAAGGCCTGAGCCTCTGCAGTGGGGACGTAAAACGGCTGGTGATGATGTGATGATGAATGTAAAACTGATTATGTTTTTCAATAAAACACTGAGAATCGTATTTTGTTATTTTTCTTCTGATAACAAATATGAAGAAGGTATATGTAAGCCTGATTATCAAAAATTAAAACATGCAAAGCATAAAATGTGTTGCTAAGCGCAAAACTCGAGAAAAGCTGCACCAATAACACGATGTCATGATTCATTTAGATAATATATATCTATAGAGAATAAAAATTGAGAAAAACTAATAAAAATAACACTTTTAATTTACTATAAAAAATGTGTTATAAGGGCAAATTCATCGTTTCATAATTGTAAGTTTTGAAATATTATTGAAAATAAATTAAAAAGCAAAAGTAGCTTGCAAAAAACCTTGATATGGAACAAAGCCAGTTGAAATAAGTTGTAAGTAAGAGAAAAATTATAACATAGTATTCTTTTAAATAATTTATATATATAAGATTTAGATTACGTATAATTTTCTCAATGACCTGGAAATTAAACTCATCAGTTTATTTAGCCGACTTGATACGGACATTCTAGAGTTTGAGCTTTACAACTAAGGCGGATTATTTCATATGACTGAATAATTAAAAGTCGCTAGCTAATGTCGATGATGGAGAAGAAAGGGTAAAAAAAACTCCACAGATTATCCGATAGCTATAAAATGTATAAATATTCAATTTAAAATCGACAGATAATAAATTACATACAAGTAAAAATCTCAGCACGAATATTTGTATTGGAATAGTGTTACAGCTCTTACTTACAGAGTTTTTATATCCATAATCAGTTTCGGTCAACAAGTTTAATTCGCTCACTACAACTATAATCGAATCAAAATGAGTCCATACAATAGTTTTCCATTAGAATCAATCAAATCAACGTTTCCCCCTCGGCTCGGAACGAATCACTGCGGCTCCAATGTCCGTAACATCTAAAGAAAGCGTGAATTTTCTTAAAAAGCGTTCATAAAAAAAAATTATAAATAAAACAAAATTAACGCAGAATTGAACCTTTCCGGTTACAAGTTCGCACTTGACCTAGATTGACTTGTCGTTATTGAATGTGCACGAAGGTACACCGGTCGCCGAAAATGGCGAATCGTCGAAAAAGATATAAGGCGCAACTCGACATAAAGTGATATAAAAATATAAGCTTTGCTTCCGGCTCGGGCAGTTTTTAAGAGAATGGTTAAAAACTTAAGAAAATAAATTTAAGGTTGCACTCACACTACAGGAGTTTGCATTCAGAGTCAATCAATATGGCTAAATTAAGTTTGCTACTGTCTAACATTGTTTAAATATTATATCTATTTAGATTTACATATTATACAGATGAATAGCTAATATTAATATTTTTTATAAAAAATACCCCAGGAATTTAAAATATAGTTTGAACTTAAGATTTTCATAGTATCATATGAATTAATATTCGTTATATTTATATATACCTACCAAATGTTTCAGGAGTAAGTTTTATACACAAATTTTGTGTGAAACATAATATTTTCTTTGTATAAAAAATATTGCATAAATGACTCATGCTAGTTCCATGAGAACATTAAAAACTATATGGGCCCGCGTGGCGGATCATGGCTCATACACCCCATTTCTATTGGATTCAATTCCATCCATATGCCTGTGCCCCAGCATAAATAGGTAAGTCGATGATAATGATGGACTTTCAAAAAGGGGTTATATATTATTCTTAATAATAGGATTCCCGTTTAACTCTTTGGATACGGAACCCAAAAAACACTTGAAGTACAACTGAACACAGTCCAAATTTTGAATCTAAGTTAACCGGAGCCAATAACTAACTATCAGTCACGTATTTGACCTTCAGACATCTGATTTTACTCGACCCGTAGGGCTAAGGGAAATCCACTGCATAGTGAAATTTTTGAGTAAAAGATTTACCGGTGCAATTAATTATTTAGTTTTCTATGTATAAAATAAATAAATAAATATAAATATTTAACAACATCACATACATTGCTCAGATTCCAAGATGAGTAGCTAAAGCCCCCGTATTATGGAGTATCTGAGGCAACGTAGGTACCACAACACCCAGACCCGAGTCAATATAGAAAAGTTTATTTTCTACATTGACCCGACCGGGAATCGAACCCGGGACCTCAGAGATGGCGACACCTTGAAACCGGCGAACCACTCGGCTACGGAGGTCGTCGTATGTATAAAATAAGAATCAATAATTAATATATTATGGTAGCCTCTAACTATAACTACTGTCGGATAACTTTACTGTGTCTTTAAAACATTATCACATAGATTTCCCTAAACTTATTTAATGTTAATAATAAAATTAACCCCTCAAAGTCACATGGTCACTAAAACACGTAGACTATAAAATAAATGAATAGATTTGATATAATTTTGTTTTGCGCTTACTCTTTGCATACACGCTCGCTCGTTATTATTTCTTATTTATTTTTATTTGTTACCCATCGATTGCTGACATTACAATGATGAAAACAAAAATTTCAATAGGTATTTGCATAAAAAAAATACTCTATATGAAAAATGTTCCCACGGCCGGCCGCGATCTTATTTAGCGACATTGACACGATACATACAACAGCTCGCATATGGAACATAATAATGTTCAAATTGACGTGTTACGTTAACAGCTTAATATTCACGAGACAGGTGACTGGAGGCGTTGGGTTCTTAAACATATCCAAACATGTCAGCATTATTACATGTTTATGGTTCAGCTATCGAATGTCTTTATGTAACTGTATTCTCTGAAATGCATATTTTCCTCGTTGGTGCATAGGCTAATGTTGTATAAGCAAGCAGTATTCTGTTGAAAATTGGAAGGTTTGGTAGATTTGAGTACGCTTAGTTCGACTCCCACGCTTCAGTGGTGGAGCCGAATCGAGCATTACATTGCGCAAAATCAGCAGATGATTTACAACACTCCACTTAATAATGATAATTTGAGTAATATGATAGTTAATAACAAATATAGGGACATACTAAGAAAGCAAAAATTTTGAAAGTAATTAATGATTTCTTATATTTTCACGCGCACTCTCCATAAATTAAAGAAATTGTAACGGTTTGTATTTTAAGAATTAAGCATGTTAAGAGCAATAAATGGTTTGAGATGTTATTAATTTTGGAGGAGCTCGATGACGCAAATGGTTAGCGCACTCGGTTTGCAATACAGACAGTTGAAGAAACTTTCGCAATAGCCCGTCATAGGATGGGTGAGCAAAAATCCGGCTTAACATACCTTCCTAAGAAAGGTTGCTTAGGAAGGTACGTTAAGCTGTTGGTATCTGCAGTCGTTAAAACATACCAATCCAGAGTGAACCCACGTGGTGGGTCATAACCCATCATTCTCCTTGTGGGTATAATGTACCCATTAATAGACTGGTGATATGGTGTTAGCAAAGAAAACAGTTATAGATTAAATTTAAAAAAAATGAGTTCAATAACTAAATACCCGACTACAGATTAATCACGCTCTGAAAAGTTTGAAACAAAAAATATATATTTTATAGCGATGACCAAAGGACTGCGTAATCGTGTGCCACTGATTATAACAAACCTTTTTAGTAGCATTTATGTACATAGTAACTATTATAATATAGTTACTATGTACATAAATGCTACTTAGTATTATTCCAAAACAGTTTGTTTTGTTGTCATCAGTTTTTTGTTTAATTGATTTTCGGGTGTATTTAAACAAAATCACAACCTATCGATATACCTATATGTACCTCTATATATTCACTTCAAATGTGCTAGTTAAGCTCTTTGATCTATTTTTTTTCAGTTTCTTATTTTATGGTCTCTAGAGGGCGCTGTTGCTAAAACTTCACATAGCCTATAGCACGCGGACAACTAAGACGCTTCTACTGTAGCGTTACCATGAGTTTACAATGACCGTACTCGCTAGCGACTGCGTAAATGATTTGTATGGAGAACTATACAGCGCTCCTAGCGGTCACTTGTGAAACTAAAGATTGCTAGTATGAGTCCTATAGTAAATTTACCTATCGAAAGCCAATCGCTAGCGACTAACGTTTTTTACGTTTCGTAGCTTATCCCATAGAACATCGGTACCATGAGTTACAAATTTGATAAACGTCATCGAGAAATACCGTAGCGACTGTAGTTAACTCTCTCACTTGCAAAACGTAGCGTGAAAACTTATTACTCTTGTTAGAGTATTGTTTAATAGATTATTTTCAGTTATTATTGACCCAAATAATGTCAACTAGGCATTATCTTGCGTGGAATATGTTATCATAAACTGCATATGAAGACAAACGATGAGAACAGAGAAAATTTGAAGCGGATATAAGAAATATTAGTGAGAATAATTTTATCAAAGAATATGGCTTAATATTGGTGACTCTTCCGTGTGGTCCTTCAGTGGGTTTACTAAGGTCACCATTTCTGTTAAAACATTAAAAAGGGATACGTGATACAGATAACAACGAAAATAAATAAATGAATGTAACCGGGTTAGATCTGATAGCATTGGATTAGGTTGTATATTCTTACTATATTGAAAAAAATTCATAAACTGCGTCTATTTTAAAAGTTTTATGTTTGATAAATAACAAAAAACAATGTATTATATTATTAAAGTCCCGCGTTAAATTTACCTTAACCAAATAAAGAGCACTCAGCATTCCTTAAC